GTGCTGGAGAAGTTTGAAAAATGACCTTGAAAATCCTTGAATTTTACTTTGGGAAAAGTGTCTGAACCCTAATTTTTCTGTTTGATAAATATTTTTATTTATTTTTTGGTCATTTTTAGCTTTTCCTGTCTATGGCAATAACACAAAATCAAAATTTAAAACTCTTAAAACTTCCTGCTTTGTTTACTCTGTGTTCAGCTTAAGCAAAAAAAAGTGGAGATGCACAAATCAGCATTTTAGTGGCAGATTTCCAATCTTTTTTATTTACATGCTAATTCTAGCCCATTTCTGTGATCTATATTAAGTCTAGCTCTTCAGCTTTCCTGCCATGAGTTTTAATAATTATTTAAACTGAGTTTTGAAAGAGCATTCATGATTAGCATGCTAGCTTGTCCTATTAGCTCTGAGGATGCCAGCATTTCTAGCTAGAAATGCAACTTTGCTGTTTCTGTTACCAGCTGAAAGTCTGAGTATGAATGAACAGCAGACATGTTTATAGTAAAAAAAAAAAAACTTTCATTTGAAATATCCTCTTATGTTTATGTTTCCTCTTGCCGTTATTGAAAACCTTACTGATACTAAAACTAGCTAACAGTGGAGCAGCACTAGCTGTTACCTTCATCTGGCTAGCGCTTACATTCTGAGCTTCCAACTAGCTGCTGGTCAAAGTAGATTAAATGTAAAATTGTTCAACTCAGCTCTGCTAATTTCTGTTTATTTCTCATAAATGGTGATAATCTTGCAATCCCATCATTTTCTATAATTAAGGTATAAAAGTCATTTTTCTAAGATCAGTCACTTTTGTTGGGTGTGTTATAGTACCTTTACTCTCACTGTTTTATGAGATTATTTACCCAATTGTACCTCTTTCTTTTTTCTCCTCCTGTGTATTTTTCACTTTCTTTTTTTTTAGCTAAATACCATAAGCAACATTTCAGCAAATGGCAAATAAAGTTATTAGAAGTTTTAAATGAAAGTCACAGAGACTAAAGCTGCAAATCATGTCGATGTTACTTAAAATCAGCACATATTAGTTAAAAATATGCGGTTGTAGCAGTTTAACCATTAAAGTAAAATACAGGATTTAAATCTACAATAGGTCATTTTGATGAGAATGTTTATATATATATATACATGAAACTGTCATTATGTTGTGGTTGTATAATATGAGACTGTCAGAACAGTTTTAATTAAAATGTAACCTGAAGAAAATTCATGATTATGCCTCAAAATACCACATGTAGCAACAAATATCTCATAAAACCATAAGAAAGATGCATGAAAGTTTAAACTGTTATATTTAAACCATCGAATAATCAGACTTCACACTTCCTCACATCAGTTTTGTTTACTGTAAACTGCACAAGACTAAATATGTAGAAAAGTTACGGGGAAATGGCACAGCAGTGTAAAGTTATGGCTTCTGTTGGGGATATTTTGGTTGTAAAAAAAAACAAATAAAAAATGTTCCTTGTTCCTCTTTCTGAGGGTTCTTCATTAGCAAGTCATTGGCAAGTCAAAAGTCTGTACAGGATGTTTGCATGTATAGTATTTGACTCAACTCCCAAACTCAGACAACATAGCTCAGAGGTATTTTGTGCACACTTTGTTTTTCTTTTCTTTTCTTTTTTTCATGTAAAAATTAATGTTTTTACAGATTTGAGGGTTGTAAAATACACTTAATGACACCTAAAAGAGGAACTGTGCTTAGCAAGTGTGGTTACTTAAAATAAAACATTACTTCTGCTCGGTATAGGAAGCTTTGCCGGACTTGGTGTTTCTGCAGCATGTATTGTGTGGACACAATTTTTTTTTTAAATTTCGCATAAGGGCGGGCTATGAATAGTGCGGCCTCACTCGCTCTGTCTCTCTTCTCTCCAGAGTGACTCATACCGCAGCTACCTGGTGCGCGAGGACCTTGTGGTCACCGAGCGCATCGAGGACGTCAAGCCGCTGGGTTTCTACATCCACCGGCTGTGTGACGGAAAGGAAACTTACAGAATGCAGCGCCGGTCCAACCTGCCAGGTACGGACGACGAGCGCTGCAGGTTCACTGCAGAAAGCAAAAATGTCGAACCGCCACCGGGGCTGGATTTTTACTACAGAGTCAATTTACATGCAAAATGCTGTGCAGTAAAAACAAACCAACAAACAAACAAACATGGTGGTGGTAGTGTCATGCTGTGGGGATTATTTTCTTCAGGTAATCTTAGCAATAAAACCCTAAAGATTTGACATTGGGACGACAGCCAAAGCTACAAGCAGATGGTTTAGATCGGAGTGCATCAATGTGCGAGAAACGGCCCAGTCAAACTCCAGACCTGAATTAACTGAGCCTGAAGCGAGACTTTCGTCCTCTCCATTCAATCCGACTGAGGTTCATAAGGTGTCGCTATAAATAGATGAATAAATTAAATCGAGCTCAAGAATTCCAGTTTGCATGATTTATTGTTTTTCTATTTCTACCAAAAACTGGACGATAAAAATCTTCAGTCTGACTCTTTGGTCTCAACTGGACACTTTTTTTGAAGGACAGTTTTGTTTACACTCTTCATGATTTATTTTATTTGTCGTTTCTGTTTTTTTGTTTATTTCTTTTCAACATGTAAAACGTCTTCCAGTTCCGGTGTCAAATGTCACTCAGAATATAAAGATTATTGATCTTTCAGAATGCGATCATGCAATTACCATTATTTTACTTGAAAATGTTCTCAAAACAACAATATTATCGTTTATCGTGATAATTCCTGGGACAATTTATCACCCGGCAGAATTTATCATGACAGAAATAGCTGCAAATGACGGGAGGAAGACTTGGAGCCGTCACTGCAGTGAAACCTGGTTCCATGACTTCAGTAAAACTCACTGAAGTGGTCATAATGTGACAAAAGCAATAAGTGCTTTTGCGAGACGCTGTACGGTTAAAGTTGTTGCAGAGGGACTTTAAATAGCCATTAAACTTCACCTTCAGTCAGAACGATTTGTTTGTTTATGCCAGAAACTCCTGACTGCTGTAAAGTCTGTACAAGAACCTCGACATTATTTGGCATTCAAATAGAAGAACTGAAAAAAATGTATTTGAAAACCAGAGGTATAATATTGTCTTTGAGGTTTCCAAATCATGCTCGGCTGTGTTCTCCCCCCCGCAGCATACTTGTTTTTAGCAAGAGGACCATTTTATGGGGTTCCCCCTGCTTTAGGCTGTGAAGCTGACCTGAACAGCTCCTTTCAACCAAAGAGGAAGCTGAACGCCAGAGCACGGCGTTTTGTTTTTACTGACGACGGAAACAACAAATAAAACATCAAAACTCCTGCGGGCGTAAACATAAGACGCCCACAAGTCACTTCTGGAACCATTTCAGACTCGTATAGGAAGCTGACATGTCTGGTCATTGATTGATCGTCAACTGGAGCATGCAGGCTCTAAAAATGTCCGTTTGCTGAAAGAACAACGCAGTCTGAGCAGTGATTAGGTCAAAAGCTGTACAGAAAATATAAACATTATGCATTTAAATTTAAAAACCTGGTTTGTCTGTAAACCTGTCCTACCCAGAACTCCTCATGTTACATTTCTAACTTCACCTGGTTCAATTTTTGTAAAAAAAAAAAAAAAAAATCTCCTATTGAACACTTTTTGCTCCAATTATTAATCCAAAAATAAATAAATCAACAAACTCATAGACAGTATTGTTTAGCAGCAGATGCAACCTTCGCTACAAATGATCATGTGTTCTCTACAAGAATACTGTATTACTGCATTTTAGGCAATATTTTTTTTTTTTTTTCTTAAAAGTAGTTGAATTATTTGCTCATTTGTGTCTATTAATGTATTTCTAATATCGTGTAAAAAAAGAGGCTTAAGTGGTTAATTGAAAAAACATCTGTGGAATGTGTCGACCTTTTTATTCAATTAACTGATTAATCATCAGAATACTCATTAGAATAATCGATTACTAAAATAATCTGTGGAAAGAGGAAAATACCTTTCCTCACACCTGCCTACTTATAAGCATAATTAACTTTTAAGTGTTGTTTTTTTGTCAGGCGGAAACATCCAGAAGCGCTCCGCCGACGACTGCTTCACCATCCGCCACTTTGAGAACAAGTTTGTGACGGAGACCCGCATCTGCAAGGCCTGATGAGGAAACGGCGAGCGAGCGAGAGAGAGAGGGAGAGAGAGGGAGAGAGGACGGGCGAGACGGGGTGATGGAGGGAGTGGATGAGCGACAGGAAGCACAGAAAGCAGAAAGCTACTTTTGTACAAAATCGTTTCGCCTCCCTTTGCCTCCCAGCTTGTGTCGAGTGAGTTTAGGTTCCAGAGCCGCCGCCGCTGTACGTACGCCTCACCTGCATCAAGTCCGCACCACCTGCTGTTTGTTGTTACCTTAGACGCACTAAGTTTCATTTGCTCCGTTAGAATCTATTTCGTTCGCCGTGGCTTCCTGCATTGCCGCCCTATCGATGTTCTTGTATCCCAGATGCGAGTTGTTTGACACCCTGCTTGATATTCCCGTCGTTCCCAGCAGGTGTGCGACGCCTCTCCTGTTTCCTGTCGCCTCCTTTCCCGGAGGAGCTTTAGCAGCGCACTGTAACGCTGACACGCACGTTTGAACGCACACTCGTCGTCTTACCGCCATGGTCGCCAACATGGACGAACATCCGACAGCTGCCACTCCTCACTTTTTGTAGATATTTCCCAGAGTGCCCTGCTGCTGCTGGGACTCCTCAGTCCTGCTGTGTTATGATTTAGTGTAACTGACAATGAACTCTTTCGGTTATTGTGTTTGTGTAGAGGCATTTCTAGATGTTAGCTAGTGAAGACCGTAAGCTAAACCGGCGGGACCAAGCTAAAGGGAAACGTAGCGTGTTATTTTGAAGGTGAAAAATGTTTATTTGATCGCCTGCTTTGGTTTGTGAATTTGTTCGTGTATTTCATTTTAACCTGAACAAAAAAAAAAGAAGAAATAAAAAAGCAGATGTAATGTGTCGATATTATAGTTGGTGGCATTGAAGTTGTACATTTTTCACTGGAAAACTTATACTTGCTTAGATTTACTTACACAAAACTGTTACGGTTGAGTTTGGAAATCCCTTGAGAAATGGAAAGAAAAAGGAAAAATGTGAAAAATATTTTTGAAATGGCTTTGTGCCAAAAAGCATAAAAAGGGGGAACAAAAGGGAAACGTTGCGAGTTGTTTTAGTGGTTTGTTCTGTGAATCCCACACAGGAAGACAATCAGTAGGAAGTGCTGTAGGCTAGTAACGACGGGCTGCTCTCCAACCCAAATCCTGTGGAATAAAACGAAACAACTTTGTGTGACACTACTGAACTGAATTTCATTTTTGTTGTTGAATAAAGTTGCTTTTCTTAACCTGCTTAAAAACAAGACTTTCCTGTGTGGTTATTGCTGCATCATGTATCACTGCCATTGTGCTTTTTTTGCTCTATAATTACTGTATTGGGTCAGAAATGTAAATTTGTTGTGACTTTGACATCGACACTGGTGGGAGCAAATGGACAACGCTGCAAAAACACAAAATCTGTCCCAAGTATTTTTTGGTCTAGTTTCTAGATATTGGAGATTTTTTTTCAAGTTAACAAGTCCTAAATACTGATTTAAAAAATATATGTTTCACTTCTAACAAGACAAATTTCCCATGCTGGAAGTGAAATAATCAGCCGGTTGAACTAGTTTAATGAATATTAACGACTTATTGGCTACTCATAAGTTAGTTTTGACTTATTTCAAGAGTATTAAGATGTTTGCAATAAAAACTAGACAAAAAATACATTTTGTTTTTTGCAGTGGCTTAGTCTGGTTTGTGTAAAGAAACTAGCCAATCAAAATAGTTATTTAATATCCAGCAGTTTGCTGAATGTGTATAATCATCTAAATATTAGTTATCGTCTATATATTTTCATGCATAATTTGAGCGTAAACCCACAATAAATTCACACTTGCCTGCCCAGTTCTTATTTTTGAAATGCTAATTTTAGCCAACTTGCTGCTTTTAGAAATCATTTCTCTGAGAGCTTTTTTTTTTTTTTTCCGATAAGAGGATGTCAGAACAAGGACCAACCAAATAAAAATAAAATATGTTTTAATTACATATAAATAGGGTAAGGACTTCACATTTCAGATGTATATTTTCTTATATTCACAAATAATTTAAATTTTCACCAAAGGAATGCTCACATTTTATTTGGGGGATTAGTGGTTGTAAAGACGCCGCCTTTCTGAGCAACGGGTACGGAAGCCCGGAATGGACACAAATCGGCTCCTACACATTTGGCTAAAAAAAATAAAACCAAAACAACACGCCGGTTTGTGACTTAGGAAAGTGCGTCGAAAATCCAGTCAAAATGGCTCTTTTTTTACACCATTGTAAGACTGACTTATAAACGCTGGATATTGTGGCGTTTATTCAGCTCACTGAATGGTGGTTTTTACATGTGACGGCGATCAAGCAGTTTGTGATGACCCAAATTTTCAGAGTTCAGAAGGTTTTCACTGGATTTTCGCCATATTTTACAGAGACCTGCATTTTATTATTTTTTTTCCAGATGTGTAGCAAAAGCAGCGATTTGTGGCACGTGTGTCTTTCCATAGCCTAGTTTGTCTCTATGTCCTCTTGTGCGGTTAAGCAGGACAGTCGTCTGCTCAAATTAAAATTGTCCGGCATCTCGGGCTTGCTTAGCCGCCTCCTGAATTCGTCGCTTGTGAAGTAGTACATGATCGGGTCGAAGGCGCAGTTCAGGCTGGCGAGGCAGAGCGTTATGATGTGACTCCTCTGAATCATGTTTCTGGTGGCGCAGTCCTTCAAAGTGGCAGCTTTCACCAGGAAGTCCAGCGGCAAGGTGATGTGATACGGTGCAAAGCACAGCAAAAAGACTATGGTGCAGCACAGCACCATCTTCAGTGCCTTCTTCTTCTCCCCAAAGTCTGGAACGCCCTCTGTCGTCACCTCTTTGAGGCTTAAAACTGTCGAAATTGAACAGTACACCACAACGATGAGGGGGATGATGAAGCCCATTAGTTCTGCGAATGTCATCAGGATTGAGGCCAATAAAACACCGGTTTTTTTCGTAGGCAGCTCTGCGAAACAATACCCTTGGTTTTCTGGCTCGCCCCTTATCAAGGGGAAAGCTGTGCAGGTCACGCAGACAAACAGCCAGCCGAACACGCTTATCAACATGTCTCCTTTCTGCTTCGTCTTGTACTTCAGCGGGTTCACGGTGAGCTGGCAGCGACGCACACTGATGCACACCAGGAAGTAGATGGAGGCGTACATGTTGACGTACTTGAGATAGAAGCTGAATAAGCAGAGAGGGTGACCGAAGGGCCAGTTGTTGTTCAAGTAGTAGTAGATCCGCAGAGGCAGCGACAGCACCTGGGGACAGAGGCAAAGTGTTCAGGAGCGAGCACAAAATCACATCGACTATGAATGTGTTTAGAAAGATTCTTTGTTAAAGGGGCAGCATCATGTGTTTTCCAGCCACATAGAATCAATTTACAGCACAATCAAGTAACTATGTTACCTTCAGTTGTTATCAAAGATGACTTCAAAGAAATTTGACTTCATAATTTAACACCTTCCCGGCCCCATTAGGGACAAGGGTGTACAGAAAATGGATGGATGGATGGATGGAATTTAACACCTTTAAATTGGACCTCTGTCTCTTTAAGAAACTCCACCTTCAGGAAGTCATCACAATATGGCGTCTCTATTAACCCCTTATCATTGTAGATCCAAAATTTCAAAAGGGATTGTCCTTGTTAAATGAAAGCCGGCTGGTTTGTTGCTTATTTTGAGCTCGACTGAAGAAAACTGAAAAATTATTGTGCCAGATCATCCTTCATTTAAAAACACTCTGTGTATTTAGCCAAGTGTTTTAAAAAGTAAATAAAAGTAGATTTTGGTGTACTTTAGACTACAAGTGAATTTATCATAAAATCAAAAGCAAAGCAGAAAGCTTGGAGGAGACGATCATGTTGTGTTGTTTTTGTTTCTGAATATGAAGACACTGCAAACTGTGCATCTTTACAGCCTGAAACTTCAACCTCATCACAGCTCAGTTCATTAATTTGCTCATATTTCCACTCTATTTATCATTATTTAACCGGAATTCAGATATTTCCAACCCAGCTGATGATCTCACTTGATTAAGAGTCACCAAAACAAAGTCACACATGCTAACATTTTGTTGGACTGCATTTAGCTTTGACTCACATTCGCAGTAATATTGTTTTGATGCGCTTCTGCAATTTCACAAGACATATTTCCATCCCATTTTTTTTCACGACTTAAGCCCAATGAATCCTGGCATTGTTGTCTTGGGATATGCTTTTCCTGGAAGAAAAACATTTGTTGGTGGAGCAGCCTGGTTGTTCGGTACGTACCAGTAGTTATCTGACCTCCTCCTTAGGGTACATAATGTTGTTGGACCGAATGCAGCAACCCCATTACCCTAACCCACAGGCTTGTACATCAGACAATAAGCATCATGAACTGAACAGAGCAAACCTGGACCTCCTTTGCAAACTGAAGTCCTTTTTCTCAGGTTTGCTTCACGGATGAATGTTTTTCTTACGGCTACACCGTTGAGTTGAGTTCCCTTCTCATTGTGGAAGTGTTCTCTAAACATAACCCCCAAGCTCTACGGTTGTTTTCCTTCCACTGGACATCCCGCCAATCATCCAGGGTTTCTTTCCAACCACATTATCTTCCTCCAAGACGATGTTTCCCGACTATCATTTCAGTTGTTCTTGGACGGGTCTCAGCCCAATTTCAGACGCTTCTACAATTTCCTGAGATTTCTCTGCTTGCTGCCAATGATTTGACCTTTCTAAGCCAGACTAACAACTCTTCCACCTATAGGGACCGTGTGTTTCAGGGTCACAGGAAATGGGAAACTACTCTTGGCACCAGTTGGGATTAGATAACTTCTTGCCAGCTTAAGTATAATCGCCCATGCAGTGATTATGTAATAGGAGGCTTCTGCTTATTTGCTTAGTGCAGGTTATTTCAGCTGATTTTAACTCTGCCTGGCTGGCATATTGAAAATTTTAATCAGGAATTTATCAGCTGCAGATGTTAGCAGTGGTTTTTACAACCTCTGACTTAAGTCTGTTAAGTTTTAGTAGTGGTTAATGCTCTGGTTTCTGTGTTGAGTTCAGTTGTGCAGAAAAGTCAGAAATTACAGAGACATTTCATAATTTATTCATATCTGTGAGTTAAGGGACCGTCAATGAAGGCGGTTCGACATAATTATTTTTTTTATATCAAAGGGAAAGAGTCCTTAGAGTTTTTTGCTCCACATTTTCAGCAACATAATGTTTGTGATCATTTGTAAGGTAAGGTAAGGTAATTTTATTTATAAAGCACATTTTGTAAAATTGGCACTACATTTTAGCACAACTGCTTACTTTTCTGCTTTGAAGTT